TGGGGATTTAGCTCAGTGGTTTCACTGCCTGCTGCGTAAGCGCAAGGAGCCGAGTTTGATCCCCGGTACCAAAAAAAATTTTTTTAAAAAGAGACCTTAGCTGATACAGTTGTAGAAAATGCTTCAGACAAGGCATGGATTAAAATCCGCATTTTGTGAGCCAGGTTTGGTGGTATACTCCAGTAGTCCCAGCACTTGGGAGGCTGAGTCAGGAGGATCGCTGGCAAGTTTGAGGCACAAACTCAAAAAATAAAAAATGAATAAACATAAAAGTCCTAGTTTTGCTACTTTGTAAGCTTGGGCCAATGACCATACCTGAGGATTAAGTAAGTATATGCACAGAAGGAGATTTAGCTCAGTGGTTCTACCCTGCCTCACAAGGGCAAGTTCCCAAGTTTGATCCCGGTACCAAACAAAACAAGTATATCCACAGAAAACCATTGGCATGGTGCCCTTCTCATAGATAGTAAGTGTTCAGAAAGACACTGGCTACCATTGTTACTGGTACCTATTTAGAACTAGGTTTCAGACCCAAGGCAGGCGGGAAACCCTCCTCTATCCTCTCGGGTTTTCATGGATGGTGGTAGTGAGTGGATGGGAAAATAGATGAGCAAGTGAAAACCATTTCCAGGGCTGGGGGTGATGATAGGGTCTCGCTGTGTAATTCAGGCTGGCCTCAAAACTATGCAGCTCAGGCTGGTCTTGAACTCACGGTAATCCTCTTGCCTCAGCCTCCTAGGTGCTGGGATTACTGGCATCTGCCACTGTCCTTGGCTTGCCTAGCATTTATGCAGCCCTGGGTTCAAATCCCCAGCACCAAAAAAAAAAAAAAAAAAAAGCTATTTCTGTGCAATGTGGTCACTGTCGCCATAGCAGAAGACAGATGAGGGACCCAAAGTCGGACCACAGAGTACAATGCATGCACTTCAAAGAGGCACCTAGCAAAGTGGGCTTCAAAGGCTGTGTGGGTTCTGACATCTGTCCTAAGCAGGTACCTTTTTCTGATTGGCAGAGGCCAGCGGTGGCCTTATAGGTGTGGCCTAAACTCAGGCTGGAGTGACAAAGAAGGTTTCCAGTGAAGGAGGTGATACATGTGCTGGTCCTCAGTAGGAGCTCATGAGGTGAGCTTGACCAAAGCCCTTCTAAGAGCCTGGGCCAGGGCAGCTCAGTGGCAAAGAGCTGGTCTAGCATGTGGAAGGCCCTGGCTTCCATCCCTAGCATCGAAGCCCTGAAAACCCAAGGAGGGTTTGGCTGTCTGAGGGAGCCAGCAGGGCCCAGGGACTATAGGGAGGAGTGGGGTGACTAGAGGAGCAGGGAGAGGACCCAGTAGGACAGGAGCTTGAGCTGCTCCTCGGGGTCTGAGGAATCACCACAGGATGTGAAGCGGGTGAGCCCCAGGTCAGATCTGTACAGAAGCCTCAAGAGGACAGCAAATCTCCTCAGGGGTAGGAAATCGATTCAATGCTAATCTCACTTCAGTTTCCTCCTCTGAAAAACAGGGATGATACAAGGAGTAATGAGATAATGTACCTTAACTGTTTAACATAATGCCCTGCTCAGGGTAAAGGCTTCAAAAATGACATGCATGAATATTACCAGCAGGATTCTAGAGAGCACAAATAGAGGTAGGTGTGATGGTTTAATGGCTGTAGACCCAGCACTCTGGGAGGCTAAGGCAAGAGGACCACAAGTTCACACACACATATCTGGGCAACTTAGTGACTTGGTGAGACTCTGACTCAAAAGAGAAAGAAAAAGGGCTGGAGATTTAGCTCAGTGGTTTCACCACCTGCTGCCTGCTGCACAAGTGCAAGGAACCTGAGTTCGATCCCCGGTACCAAGAAAAAAAAAGTTTATCAAAAGAGAAAGAAAAAGAAAAAAGAAAGGGTTGAGGATGTAGCTCAGTGTAAAGGCCCTGGGTTCAATCCCCAATACTAAAAAACAAACAAACAACAACAAAAAAACACAATCAGGCTGGGGGTAGCTCCATGACACAGAGTGTTTGTTTAACATGCTAAGGCCCTGTGTTTGATTCCAGGCACAGAAAAAAGACAGGGACAGAACCACATGCAATTCTGCCCTAGAAAACAGGATAGGAGGATAAAGGGGCTTTCCCTCAAAAGTGCTGGAGACTTACTTCTTGATTTGAAGGCTGATTGGTTGAAAGAACTCAACAGAAAGTTTAATAACAAAATGGGTGTGGGCACACACGTGTAATTCCAGCACTTGGGAGGCTGAGGCAAGAGGATCTTGAACTGGAGGCCAGCCTGGACTACATAGTGAGATCCTGTCTCAAAGTTTAGTAACAATGTGAGGCAAGTATTCCTTTTTGGAGGTGGAGCAGCAATAGTGAGTGACTTCCCGGGTTGTTTTCTTTCTTTTTTCTTTTGTTTTTTGAGAGAGGGTCTTGCTATGTAGCTCAGGCTGGCCTTGAACTATGTAGGCCAGGTTGACCTCGAACTCTTGCTGATCGTCCTGCCTCAGCCTTCTAAGTGCTGGGATTACAAGCGTGCGCCAACATGCCAGGCTGTATGTGGCCAATTCTGTCCCTTTCTTCTCTGGTCCCCACATGGGTTGGACAGGTGAGGATCTGGGTGTCCGCCAATTCTTGTTTAGTTTTGGGATGCTGAGAATCTAATGCAGGGGCACACTTGTGCTAGGCAAGTGCTCTATCACCGAGCTCCCTGCTTAACTTCCAAGAGAAGAGGAAGACTCCAAGATTCCTCCTCTATTGCCCATCCCCATGCCCATGCATTCGATGAAACCCAGGGCCTGGCACATGCTAGGCAATTGCTTTACTGCCAAGCTATATACCTGGGTCTAGGATCCACTCTGAACTGGTGAGTGGAAGTCATCACTATTGAGATTACCTGGGCTTCTACCATTGCTGCCAGCAGCCACTTGGCCTTTGCCCTCCTGAGTTTGGGTGTGGGGATGGGAGTAGAAGTCTCTAAGTGTTTAATTAATAGTCAGCAGTTCCCTATGGTAGGGCTGCTCTCCACCCTTCTTCACAGATCCCAGCATCGACCTTTTTTGGGGTGTGCAACTTTTTATCCCCTCCATATTGGGAATTGAACCCAGGACCTCTCCTTTGCTACATCCTCATTTTCTCAGTACTGGGGATTGAACTCAGGACCTTGTACTTGCCAGACAGGCACTATGCCACTGAGCTACATCCCTGGTCAGTCATTTTTAATTTTTAATCTTGAGACAAGGTCTTGCTAATTGCTTAGGCTGGGCTCAAACTGGTGATCCTCTTGGTTCAGCCTCTCAGAATGCTGGGATTACAGGTATGGGAGACCGCACACAATGAATGTCCTTCTTTAACTTTTGTTTTTTTGTTACCGGGATCGAACTAGGGTGTCCTTGCGCCTGCAAAGCAGGTGGCAGAACCAGAGCTAAATCCTCGGCCCTTTGTTTTGTTTTGAGACAGGGTCTTGCTTTGTAGTGCAGGCTGGCCTCAAATGCATGAAGATCCTCCTGCTTCAGCCTCTGGAATGCTGGGATTACAGGTGTGCACTACCACGCCCAGCTAGAATGTCCATCTTTAAGACATCTGGGCGCACACACCTGTAGTCTCAGCACTTGGAGACTAAGGCAAAAGGATGAGTTCAAGGCCAGCCTGAGCTATATAGGGAGACCTTATCTCAAAAAACAAAACAAAACACCAAGAAGCTTAGATGTGAACTTCTGGGAATGTTCACTGTCTTAACTATTTCTATAGCAAGCACCTTACTTTACTTACATGGTATGTTCACACAGGGTAGCCTTAAAGAATCTTGCTGCCAAGTATGGTGGTGCATGCCTGTAATCTCAGTGCTGGGGAGGCTGAGGCAGGAAGATTGCTGGGGTCTGGGACTAGCTTGGGTTACTTAGTGAGTTCAAGGCCAACTTGGAATACATAGTGAGACCCTAGCTGAAAAAAAAAGAAAGAAAGAAAATTGCTGGAGAGGGCCGGGGATTTAGCTCAGTGGTGCCACCGCCTGCCTGCCTCACAAGCACAAGGTCCTGAGTTCAATCTCGGGTACCAAAAGAAATAAAAAATTTTAAAAAAAAGAAAAGAAAAGACAACTGCTGGAGAGGGGCTAACTACCTCTGTAAGGGAGCCATTCTTCCAACGAGTATGGGAGGTAAGGGAGGACAAGAACACTAGCATTCTGGCAAGGAAGGGACTGGGGAGGTATCTGCAGTGTCTGGGAGGAGTCACTTCTTTCGGCCTGGGATGGCAGGAGTCGGGAGAGACGACATGTTCTACGTGAGTTCTGCCCTTTCGCACCACTCCCAGCCCTGGACAGGTTAGGGCCCCAAAGTCCACATATAGAAAACTTCAGGAAAGCCGGAGATTTAGCTCAGTTGTACCGCTCGTGGCTTGCAAGCACAAGGTCCTGAGTTTGATCCCCCCACCACACACACAAAAAAAGGCTTCAGGCTGCTGGTCCCCAAAGACTCAGGCCCCATGGCCCTGGCCCTGGCTGGGAGACAGGCAGGCTGTGCAGGAGGAGAGGAAGCAGCAAGGTGGGAGAGGGCTTTGCTTCTCCCAGGGAGGCCTCAATGTCAAGGTCTCAGCAGTTAACTAATTCCCTGTTATCTGGACCCCATTGATCTCCATCTCCCACCTAGGATTTAACCTGGGGCTGGCTTCCTTTTTTTTGAGAAAGGATCTCACTAGGCAGTTCTGGCTATCCTTGAACTTGCTATGAAGCCCAGGCTGGCCTCAAACTTGCAGGGATCCTTCTGCCTCAGTCTCCAGAGTGCAGGGATTACCAGTGTGCACCACCACACCCCACTCTCGATCAGCTTCCTAACTGCACTGTCCCTCATCTCCACCTTGAGTCACTGGCTGTGTTTTCTCAGCATGGCCTGACTTTCAGCCTGCAGTACAAGTCTCCCCCCATGAATCTCAGAGAACTGGAGAAGTTCCACTTTGGGATTATAGACAGTTTGGGAGTATTTGAACCTGGGGCTCAGTCTATGGGTCCGCGGAAGAAGACATCTCCAGCTGGAGGATTAGTTTATGCTGGGCAGATGGAGGGGCATCTATAGAGTAACGTTAGGACTATGTGGGCCCAGTCTGTCTGTCCCCACTGGGCACCTACTGTAGCACGTATGAGCTTTCGGTCTCTTTTTCAACCCGTAGCTTTTGAGCGCTGCTGTGTTCCAGGCACTGTTTTAGGCTTCAGGTTTGTAGGCCACGGTCCCAGGGCTGCACAATGTAGTCGACCCAGGGATTGGACTGGAATCTTCCCAGACAGTTTCCTCATCTGTGGATTGGAAACAGGAAACTTCATCCCTTTTCTCAGGGTGGACCCATAGAATCGGGGAGGGTGGGGTCTTGGACAAACACCTAGGCCCGATAAGACACGCACCTGAGCTGGTGTGGGGGGAGCGGTGCCTGGTGTGGGGGGAGCGGTGCGGGTAAACCCTCCTTCCAGATCCTTCCCAACTTCTTGCCCAGTTGAATAGGGGACAGGGGAGAGCGGATTTTCCCCGAAGGTGCATGCCCAAGCCCAGGCCAGGCATCCCTCACGAAAGGGGGGAAATCCTCTTTCCTTTTTCTTGTAAAGTTTTGCGAAAAAATATAAGGTGAACTAGGGCGCGCAGGGGAGCTCAGCCTGGACTGACCACACCAGGGCGCCGGGAGCAGAGGCGCAGCGGCCCTGGCTCCAGCCTTAGAGCCTTCGGCGTCCAAGTGGCCAGAGCGGCGCTGGGAGGGAGGCGGCGGGAGGAGGGAGGGGAGCCGAGGTGGGGGGGGGGGAGGGAGCGGAGAGTCCGGTCCGGGTTTTGCCGGCAGCCCCCGGGCACCGTTCAGAGCTCCTGGCCCGGCGGGCGCGCGGCGGCGGCAGAGGCGGCGTAGCCTGAGCCGGGATGTAGAGGCGGCTGCGGCAGAGGTGGCAGTGGCGGCGAGAGCAGGCGTCCGAGCTGAGGAAGAAGAGTGGCAGAGCCTCCCCCCACCACACGCACCGCCGGGCTCCGCGTCCCAGCCCGCGCCCAGCCATGCGCGCCGCCTGCTGAGTCCGGGCGCCGCACGCTGAGCCCTCCGCCCGCCGCGCCGCGCTCCGCTCGGGGTGATTAGTTGCTTTTTGTTGTTTTTTAATTTGGGCCGCGGGGAGGGGGAGGAGGGGCAGGTGCTGCAGGCTCCCCCCCCTCCCCGCCTCGGGCCGGCAGCGACTCGGGCTCCGGCCCCGGCACGGCGCGCGGCTGGAGCGGAGCGCACCTCGGCGGCGGCGGTGCCCAGAAGCGGAGCGCAGCTCCCCGCCCCGCCCCTCCCCCCGGCCTCGCGGCGACGGCAGCGGTGGCGGCTGGACGACTCGGAGAGCCGGTAGGTGTCGGGCCACGGCCCTCCCCCGACCCCCCCCCCGGCCGGCCCCCTCCCCTTCCCCGCCTTCCTCCCTCTCCTCCCCCGGGGCTCGGTGCGCGGCCGGGGCCGGAGTTCGCTGCAAGTCGGCGGAAAGTTTGGCGGCGCGGGTTCCCCCGAAGTTCAGGTGCGGAGAGCCAGGGACGGGGAAGGAGGGGGTCTGAGCTTGGGAGGGACGGGGGACGCCCGCCACGGATCCGCGGAGCCCCGGAAGCCGGGAGACCTAGCGCCAGTGATCGTTAGGTGGCCGCTGTTACACCCAAGCCTTCCCAAGCCGCAGTATGTTCGGTCGCAGATCACTGAGTTCAGACAAAAAGAGGGGTTTTAGGGTCGGGGACGGCGGGTTGGGCGCGGTGGAGTGGGGCCGGGGCTCTCCCTGCAGGCTAGCGTCCCCGTCCTGATGCCTCGAGCTCGCGGGCGCTGGGGTGGCGGGCGCCCGGGCTCCTCACCTCTCGGTGTCGGCGGGCCTCTGCCCGCAGGGGCGGCTGCTTGGAGATCGCTGGTGCGCGCTCCCCGCATCAGACCCCACTCAATTGCACTGTGTTTAGGGGCGACAACAGCTGCTTCGATCGCCCTCGACCCCGCGTGGCCGAACCTCCTCCACTTGGGAGAGGCGGCGGCCACTTCTGCATTTCCCCTCGGGCTCCTCGCCCCCGCTGCCCGCGGGGTGCCTGGCAGGCTGATCTAGTTTGACCTTTTTTTTCTGTCCAAGTATCTCCCCCACCTCCACCGCGCCCCGCGGCCTCTCACTCCCTTCCTCTCTAGCCTCTGAGAGTCTTTAGGGCTGCCTCCCGAGCCCCGCGTGGCCCAAGGGCGTGCAAAGCCAGGGAGGGAGAATGGGGGTGTTCCCCAGGCTGGGGATCTGGGGTGGGGCCGGGTGACCCAGGCTCCTGCCTTGCTGCTCCGGCCCCGAATTTACCCCTGAAGTTCAGCGCTAGGCCCCCTCCCCTTCGCTTCCCCGGGGCGAGGGGCTGAGCCGCTGTGAGAGGAATGTGTTAATTTTCTGACTGGGGGAAGTTGTCCTAGCCCAGAAAGGGCTGCTTTCCGGCGGGGCGCGTGGGGGGCGCCTGGCTTTGTTTATCTGTAGGATCGATCGAAAGTGAGTGACCCCAGTTTTTAAATGGGGGGTCATTCCGGCCCCTGTCAGTAGAGATGAAGCGCCCAGAGAGAGCATTCATCCCCCTTCTCTTTTTTTCCCTCGGGAATCGGAAGGGGTGCGCGGAGTTGGGCTAGTGCCACGGGCTGCAAGAGGCACCGGTAGATTTGGGGGGCTCTGTAGTGACTCATCCGGAAAGACCTGCTCCCTGGAGTCTCTTGCGACGGGGTCTGAAGGCTTGGCAGCCGCGCCCTACTTTGCCCCTTGGACCCTGGGTGGTCTGAGAGTCGCGTCTTCGGGTTGGGGGTGCTGGACGGGGTGGGGGACGGCGGGCCAGTCTCTTGATCCCCGCCTTTCCTTACGCCGCTGGCGCTGTTCGGAGCCCTAGGTTTTGCAGTGGGCCCAGCAACCACCCCCCCCCAACACACACACACACACACACACACACACACACACACACACACACTGCGTTCGCTCAGGAAGCGCTGCGAAGGGGGGCGTGTGTGATCGCTCGGCCCTCGCCCCCGCCGGAGCCGCCCTGGGGCCGCTGGCAAACAGAGTCCCTTTCAAGTTTTCCGCTGGGGCCGCCTGGCGGGGGCTGCGAGCGCGGTCGCTGCGGACTTGTTTGGAGCGCGATTTGAACGCCCGGCGCCACCTCAGCTGCCCTGGCTCGCGGGGGTGGGGTGGGGGGTGCCCATCTCTGCAGTTCGGAACATTTGGCCTAAGCTTGACCTGATCTCCTCTCAGAAGACCTCCATACGCTGGGTTCCAACTGGCCCGGGAACCCAGGAACTGGAATCGGAAATCCCCTCCAACCCTTTTTTGAGAGCCGTGCTGGGAGACTGAGACCAGCTCTTCCTCCCCGCGACTGCGTGGTGTTGATTTAGCAGTTTCCCTAGATGAGAGTCAGGCTGGAGCTTGGCGGGGGGGGGGGGGG